AGTATAAATGAAATAACTTTTATTTTTTAATTCGCTAAATTTTTTCACTTTCCACAGGCATTTTAATAAAATTTGTAAATGTATGTCTGGGATGAGACTTGTTAAACATGTTTCCTGTAAAAGTCATGTCTGTCTTTATTGAAGTGCACCATGACATTTCTTTTGTTTGTTTTTATACTAACCCTGCTGGCACATTAATTCTTACCAGAAGCCAAAGTGATTTCAGGGCTTTCGCTTTCATTATGCTGTCTGCTGGAGCAGCGTTTCATAATCAGATTTGTTGGGTGTGTGGGGGCGCCCGCTGCACATGGAGTGGGGGCGGGGGAAGCAGGCTCACTCAGTGGAATATCATTGATCACATTCGACTGTTTCCAAGATTGTTTCCTAAACTGGCAGTAACTCCTTGAAGGTGAACAGACCAGGAAAAATATTAAGTGCCCTCAGAACAGATTAATTTTCTAATCTGGGCTTCTAGTGCCTTTCTATGGCCAGCCAATTCAGTGCAAAACATTTGTGAGTTACTGAGGATCCCTTTGCTTCTATCTGTTGGTTTAGAACCCATTTGCAGAAAATGAGGAATCACAGCAAAGGTCGATGAGGATTTTGGGAATGAACACTTGGGATCTTGCTCTGGAATTAATGAATTTTGATTGGAGTCTATTCAATTCAATTCATGAGGTAAGTAGGAAGTGAAAGATAAAGTGTTAATTCTCTCTTAACTGAATTCTTTTTGAAGAATATCTATGTATGTGGTGATACAGTTATGCTAGGATAGCATGGTTCAAAAGCTGTTCAGGGACTTTAAATAAATTGAGAAACCAACCCAATCTTAGGAAAATCAGAATATTTGGTCATGCTTTATTTGCTACTAGAGTAATCAAATGCTTGTGTAATGTAATATAAATATGCTGTCTGTATATACACATACATGTGTGTATATACATTCATGTACATATATGATGCCCTAATGGGGTTCGAAGAACCATTTTGCCTTTGATATTGATATTTTTATTTTTATTTTTCCATGAAGTTTATGGTAGAACCACGTTTATATATATGTATGTACACACACACACACACACACACACACACACACACATGTTCATCTTTCTACTTAAGAATATTCTATAAATGTAGACTGTGCTGTAAGACTTCAAATACTTTCCTTAAAATTTTGGATATATTTAAAATGTTTATATCCATCAGCCTCTCCTTTGAGGACAGATTATAACATATGTAAAACAATAGATTAGGAGCAAAATACTACTGACAGTTAATGAGTAAATTTGGCCAATGGAAAGGCTCACAGGAATAAGGAGATGAAAAATGTTACAGCCTGCACAGCTGTATGTTGCTTGTGCTTTCCTATGTAGAGAAATTTTTCATTCTGAAATGGCCTTTCCTTCTGAAGAAGGAACCTTATGCGCAAATTTAGGGGACCCTCAAGCTTCTCTTTCATATTAGAATGTCTTTTAAATACCCTCATATTTTCTCATTAATAAAATTTCAGAACCATGATCTGAATTTGAGCAAGTGGTGAACTTATTCAGGTTAAATGACTTGTGCCTTTGGAAATTGGGATGTGTCCCTGCTTATGCGATGGGAGAATATGGATTGTTTCTATAAGACACACACGCACAACACATTCTTGTTGTGACCGGTAAGGGGATTGCAACCCTTGGCTTGGTGTCGACCACACCGCGCTCAGCTAGTGAGCGCAGCGGCCATCCCTATATAGGATCCAAACCTGCGGCCTCAGCGCTCCCAGCACCGCACTCTCCCGAGTGAGCCACGGGATCGGCCCACACAACACGTTCTTTTAAAAACAAATCTCTTCTATTGCTTTGCTGTGATCAGCCTATGTAAATAGTTACTGCTCATATTCGCTTTTGTAAATTGCTGGATTTTTGCCCTAATCTCATTTTCTTTCTCTTTATGGTTTGACAATATCTTATATCAGTGGTTCTCAATGAGCAGGTACCGAGACTGGCATCACCAACACCACTTGGGAACTTGTTAAAAATGCACATTTTTGGCCCCTCCACAGATCTGCAGAAATTCTAGGGGTGGGGTCCAGCAATCTGTGATTTAATAGTCCTCCGGGCGATCCTGATTCATGCTGAAATTTGAGGACCATTTTCTTAGAGAATGGATCTGTAAGGGTCTG